AATCAAGATGAGAAAAAAACCATTCAAATAAAGCAGAAAGCCAGCACCAAATTCAAACAAAAAACGGCTGCCAAGCCTGACACACACGATTAAAAAGAACCCAATACACAAGCCTGAGGATGGCAGATGAGATTCTGCCAAAACGTCACTATAATAAAAGCACAAATATTAAGACGTGGGAAAAAACCCGAAGAAACCTAAATACCATACATATAAATACCTGCGAAAACATCACACACACACACACACACACACACATTAGGTGGTCTGTTTCCTTTTTGCTGATGTTCTGGGTTGGTGCAATGCATTTGCATATTCATTTGCATATTTTAGTATTGGGGTGGTGTTTATAAGTTTTTTTGGCTTTTGTATATATTGTGTTCTGCTCATGCTAATGGTGGTTCACTCTGTCTGCTAAGAGGATGGTGATGGTTTGGTCTCTCCTTAGGTTTTTTTGGGTTGCTCTACTTTGAGTTGGTTCTGGTTCTGTGTTCTTTTGGTCTGTGGTATGACTGCCCATCTTATGTTTTCTTGGATCTTGGTTTTAACTAAATGATCTTTCTGAATTAAGGCTCATACATGCTTAGGAGCTTCCACTATCTTTTAACATTTTCAAAATGTCAAAAACTACATTACCCTATGCCTAACCCAATTATTGCTGCTATTATTTCAGTGTTTCAGCTTGTAAGATTTCTGTCTGGCATTTTAATGAGCACCTACAATTGAGCAATATTAAACAGCAGAACCTAAGGCCTCACTGATATGCAAGCTATGATCCATGCAAAATGGCTCAAGCAAGACAAAAGGCATAGGAAGGTTTCTAAACAGGCCAACTGTGAGTGAATTGAAATGTAGTTCTCATAATCTATAGGCTGCTGGTTGGCTGGTATGGTGACTATGGGGATTATGGGATTTGTAATCCGATGTCTTTATATAACATCTGTAGAACATCCCTATTATCTGTGTACTTATTTTGAATCTGCGAACAGCTGAATAGAAGCTGTTAAGTATGCATTCATATTCACAGAACACTGTTCTGTTTAATTTAACTGCACACACGGGTTATGTCAGGTTCTGTTGATTCAATGATCCATTAAAATGTACAGCTTGACCAGGGATGCTTAACCTTTGTACAAATTTGGGATCTTTGGAAGAAGGTGGGAGTTAGATGAAGAAGTAATGGCAGCTTGAGGTTCTGAGTCCCACATTCTTTTATATTTGTTGGCAATGTTGTGAAGCAAAAATTCTGGAAAATGATTCATAACGGAACAAACCAAATGTTAAAAGTTGAATTATCATTTCAACATGTAATATTTGTATTAAATTTAAATTGGGAGACTGTGTGTTCTGATCCTTCCTTAGGCATAAAGCCAACTGGATAATTCTGGACCAGCTGCTTTCTCTCAGCCGTAGGAGGAAGGCAAAGGCAAACAAGTTCTGAAAATGTTGCCAAGAAAACTGCAGTCTAGGCAATACCCAGGAGCCAAGACTGATACAAAGGCAAAAACCACAAAACTAAAGAAAACCCTTAAAGTATACTGAATCCTAACTACCACAAGGAAGACATATGCACTCTTTTACTATAAAATCTGGTTAATCTCCACATTGGAAGAACGGCTTACTAAATTGTGGGGGTATATGGTGACATCTAGAATAATTTCGTATCTTAAAAGTAAATCTGATACAGAATTTAATTGAATTTGGAAACCACTGCTAGACTACAAATGAACATATGGATTTGTACCACACACACACAGGTCAAATTTAATTTCTTTATGTTTAGAGTCTGTGCTTCAAATGTATAGGATTTTCAAATCAGAAGAGACTTTTAGTCATATGGACAGAATTTTCCAATCACAATCAGTGATTTATACCAATTTGATCATGGTTACAGATATTCATACTTTAATGATTAGTGTTCTAATACTGATTTTTTTAGTCTTTGAAATGATATAATACATTCAGTTACTCTTAATTAACTAATGATATATTGGAAAATGAAACCCTCCATTACATTTGTAAATCCCTTATGCATTTGTTTGTTGCTCATTATTGTTCATTTCAACCCTTTCCTCCTCCCTTTTCTTCGTTTGTTTTGCAGAATTTTTATATTGCACCAGCCAACTGGTGACCTATTGGCTCATTCTTCTTTCTACACATAAGTTTACATTGTCTCCCCTCCCTTCATGGCTCTCAGGAGAGCACCCAATGAGCCACCTCCTCCTCCTTGGCCAACTGGAAGAACTGCCTGCCACTTTGCTGGGGGTAAGGGGGAATGATGGGAAAAGCATATAAAAACAGTGGCGGGATTCAATTTTTTTTACTACCGGTTCTGTGGCCATGGCTGGTGGGTGTGGCATGGTTTGGTGGGCGTGGCTTGGTGGGCATGGCAGGGGAAGGATACTGTAAAATCCCCATTCCCTCCCCACCCCACTAATCTGCTTTCCAGCTCCGTTCTCCTGTGCAGGGCAACAAAAGAAGACCCAGCCGATCAGCTGGGACTCGGGAGGCAGAGAATAGATGTGCGCGGGGCCAGTCAGAGTTGGTATTTACCGGATCTCCAAACTACTCAAAATTTCTGCTACCGGTTCTCTGGAACCTGTCAGAACTGGCTGAATACCACCTCTGATACAAAACATTCCTTGGAATGTTGGAAGGGAACTTGGAACTCACCCCCATATGTCAATATGGAAAGTTTCTCATCCTGAGACTCCTATCTTGATAACTCATAACACTGAACACACTGTTGTCTGAGTTCTCTTCCCAGATCTGGGGACATTACAGATTCAACAAGGCTTATTCCACATTTCAGCAGAATTGGAGAGGACTCTCTTCATTTGCCATTGAAAATTCCTGTTGGTTCAAGGGGTTTTGCCAAACCATAAGTCTTTAGATCTGTTCACTGCCACCCAGGGGGGAAGCTTGCAGTAAAACTGCTGTTTCAGTCCTAACAATCCCTTGAAGGTGAAGGAATGCTGAGAATAAGGGGTACCTGAAGATGAGGCAAGCTAAGGGGAGCAACGCCAAGGGAATTTACACTTAAAAATAACAAAGTAAACAGTAATATTTATTCTAAAACACACAGACTTTGTTTTCTCAAAACACCATTGCCTTTTTGAGAATGTATTAATATAACATGAATTGGAATTGGATAAGATAAGCTTAATATTTAACAATAATAAGGATGATGCAATATGAAACTAAGCGAATATAATGAACAGGTAACTATGATCATGTTTGTATTGAGATGTGAAACCTGGAACCACACCGCTTGCCAAATGAGAATTTTTTTATTTTAAAAAATAAAATAAAAGCAGCGAGAAAATTGAATAATGGAATTACTAGGTATGTTTAACTGATATGGTAGTAGGCATTTGGAGAGAGTTTTGAAAGGTTGAAAATAAGCATTGAAGTATTATGAATTAATGTGAAATATATGCATTGAGAGATATGATCGATATTATTAATTTTGCCTATACTAAAATGTATGATATATTGATGCCACACTATTAATGTATTGCTGTGCATATGCAGATTGAAATAAATTTTTTTGGGGGAAAAAACCAAAACACTATTGCCTTTGAAGTCCCATCTTTTTTTATCTCACTATCTTTGACCTCATGGAGAACATGTATAGTTTGATTTGTAACTCCAATTAGCACAATCAATGGGTTTTCTGGTTCCTGTTATTAAGCAAACAGGGGCAATTCTTATACAAATAGTTCTGAGGTCAGCTAGACACTACAGAAACTCTTATTTAAGTCAGTACAATACCATACATTACAGCAACAATATACTATATGCATACTGTAATGGCATTTCCCCCCACCCTCATACTTTCATACGAAGCTACCTTAACTCAAGTCTGTTACATATAGACTGCTGTTCCTCATTAGGATTTGATTTTTTTTCTTTTTTCTTTATTAATTAATTTATATTGCCACCTATTTGCCCATGACAGGTTGAGGCAGCTTACACAAAGTAAAACCACATTTAAAACAAAAAATAAAAATAAAAACAATAAAAACTAACAAAAAGAATCAAATAAATTAATAAAGTACAATAGAACAAAATTTGGGGGGAAAATTTGTTAGTAATCTAATCAGTGGATGCTACCTGATTTAGCTCATATTTAGTTGTTATAATATTAATATAGAGCTGAAATGTATCCCCTCTCCAAGTTATGAAGTTGGCTGGAATAGAAATCGGAAACAAAATAATATTCAAATTTATTTATTGCCATTTTCACATTCCTGCTGTCACTGTGCTGCTTTCTAGAGTGCTTCAAACTCAGAAGAAACCAAATGTTGAGAAACATACAGTGCCTCCTTCTCTTATCCTCATCTTGTCCTGAGATGTTGTCCTGGGGAACATATGAAAGGATATAATAACTGGGAAAGGGCGGAGAGGGGAATTTGCCCCAGGTGCCTCGCCTGCTTCTTTCCACTTCTTTCTTTTTCTGCTTTTGGCTGCACGCAAGGAAAACAGCAAAAGTCTTTCTTTCTTTCCCCCAAACTCTGCCAGAAATGAGTCTTTGGGACCCTGCAAGGCATCCTGCTCCAAGAGGCAGCGCCGCCGTGACAAGTCTCACAAAGACTCATTTCTGGAGGAGTTTGGGGGAGAGAAAGAAAGACTTCTGCTGCTTCTGCTGCTTTCCTTGCATGAAGCCAAAAGTCCCTCTCTCTCCCCCTGAGAACGGAGCTGGAGACGGTATCCTGCAATCCCAAATAAAGAATGATTGATTGGTAGGAAAACGGGATGGGGAATTTTCCTGCAGACTTTTTTGGGGATTTTCCCAGGGTCTCTGGTCCGCGGGATATAAAATTATGAGTTTGGTGGTCCCTGAGGTCCAAAAGGTTGGTGACCCCTGCTTTAGGTAACTTATCTGGAGTAGAATGTCAAGAGATGGTAACCTTGGTGTAGGACAGAAACAGATACCTGTTGTAAAAAAACTGTTCACTACTAATTTTGATACTCACATAGTCCTATTATGATCCTACCTGCAGATAGCTGGAAAGCACTCCTGCAGTCCCTTCTTCTTGACTAATGAGCCTTCAAGACAATACATGATGATGTCCATTACCTATGGATAACAACAACAAATTATTGTAGAAAACAATTAAATACTTAGAACAGCATTTTGCAACCGTACTTTGAGGAGTCATAATAAAACATAGGAAAGGAGACATCTATCATTAGCATATATAGCAGGAATACTGCTACTTGAACAACAGTGGTAACATTATAATTCAAGTATCATTTGTAAACTGCTTGGATTTCAGTTATTTCAGGATTGTTAAAGAAGACAGCATTCTGAATCCCAATGGAAAGTATTTTCCAGTGGAAGACAAAGTGAAGAGGCTTAACAGACAATATCCCATGCGTTATTCCAATCACATGCAGCAAAATTCATACATCAAAGAACTTTCAGGCAGCCTTTGTATAGCAAGACTTAAAACATGCAACAGTCAGGATTTGGGGATTTTGGCTATTACATGTAAAAAGAATGCAAATGTGTTAAAACTGAGCTATCAATACCCTCCATGGATTAAACATAGCATGCATAGGCAGAAAAAAAAATATTTTTGTGATTAGTACACTGCCTTATGCTAAGTCTGCATCTAGCAGAAATATTGTCTGTGCTGATTATTAGCAGCTCTCTGAGCTACCAATATAATTTTTAGTTGCAGAGAAACCTGGATAGATTGGTATTCTTCATGCAAAGCAATACTTTATATTAAGCATGCAAATTGCTTCATATAGCACTTAAAAGAATAACTGAGAAGTGTCATTTAGACTACAGTATCTGATTCACTATTTAGTACAAGATTCCAAATGAAAAAATCTCTGACAGATGGCTGTCCATGTCCAACCACTCTTTGGAGAGCTTGAATGAAGGAGAGAAACTTTCTGGTGATTGATCCATTGTCAGATCTGGTTTTCCTTTTAGAAAGATTTTCCTATCATTCAGCCTGAATCTAACTTCCTGTAACTTTACAAGGCTTCAGGTTCTTGAAGAGTGTTAGCCTATCCACACTCAGTTGACTTTTCTGAAACTAAGCTAATACCCTAATCCAGGGATGTCAAACACAAGGCTTGTGGGCCGAATCCCGGCCCACAATGTGGTCAAATCCGGCCCATGGGGCTGTCCTGGAAAGTGTAAGGGGCCAGCCCGTGTCGTGTTGGCCTGGTCTACCCAGTCCAAAGAGGAAACATCGGGCCAGCATGGCTTCAGCCCAATCTACCAAAACCAGCTTGGTTTTGGCCCGGTCTACCAAATGCGAAGAAAAAACATGCCAGCAGTTTGAGGAGTGGCGTCAAGCTGGCCTTGCCCACCCAGTCGGCCACATCCACCCAGTCAGCCACACCCACCCGGCCCCCCGGGGTCAACCACAGCCCTGATGCAGCCCTCAATGAAATTGAGTTTGACGCCCTTGCCCTAGTCCCTCAAATCTCTTATCAGAAGGCTAAGTTTCCAGAGGCCATTTCGTCCTTTTCCTTTTATGAATTTGTTCTAATTTGCCTGAATCTTTCTCAAAATATAATGTCCAGAACACATGCAGCATTCAAAGTGGGGTCTGATTTCAAAAAAAATATTTCTATGATTTGAAAACTATTTCTACTGTGACTTGTGAGTGACCATGTCACACTGCTGATTCATGTTCAGCTTGTGATCAACTACTGTATATTCTTTTCTTACATACTGTTATCAAGCCAGGTATCTCCTTCCCTATTAATATGCATGTGACTTTTTTTTTCCTAGATGATGGGCATTGCTGTTGTCGCTATCAAATTTCACTGTGTTGCTTTTAGCTTTTTACTATAACTTAGAAATATCATTGTATGGTAGCTAGCCAATCCATGTTGTGTCATCAGCTATGAGTTCCAGTTTTCGCACAAATTTTCTGGTATTTCAAATCTCTACTCAGAGAAATGTTGAGTTAACCCTCTCCCCTACACAATTGTTTGACTAAATCAGCTACTTGGGCTAGAATGTTTACAGGACACACTAACTTCCTTTCCATGATGCAGTTAAGAATGGTGTGGGGATACCAACTTTGAAAATAGTTTTATACCCACCTATATTGAAATCTCCTTTGGCCCTCAATTAATTTGCTAAATGTTGTGAGGCACTTTGCCAAATGCTCTAGTGAAATCAAAGTATAGTCTGTCTGCAACATGCCCACAATCTATTAAGAAAGTCATTCAATCAAATGTTTTAAAAACAGTATTAGTCTGGTAAGACTTGCTGACCTTTCGTAGGCACTAAAATCATTTAATGCCTTTGAAATGATTTTGCAATGACAATGATCTCTTGTACCAACAGGTAGGCCAACGCAAAGGCTCTTATCTTCTTCAATACAGGGTAAACTCAAAACATAAATACCAACTGTTATTAACATGTAAGCATAATAAAATATTGACATACCTCTACAAGGAGATCCACAACATCTGTTGGCATTTTTTCAATAAGGATTTCAATAACCCTCAGAATTTCTCCCTTTGCTCGAGCCAAGGTGGTGGTATGAATATTTTGTTGAGATTGTGTATTAGCTTGAAGAGCAGTATGCCTGTGTACCTACAAAAAACAAAGGTATTTAAGAGTTAATTTGTAAGCTGCCCAGTATCTCCTTGTAGAGGAGATGGTTGGCATAAATTTTTAATAATAAATAAATATTTAGGGGTACTTGCAGATATTTTCTATTAAAATTTAATAGGTTCACAATCATAAGTAGAACAAAGCACTAGGGCTTCATGTATCACTCTGCTTTTGGGATGAATATATGTACCAGTTTGTTAACTTTATGGAATATTCAGTGCTTCAACTATACTTCTTACCAAGTTATAGTTGCAAATGAGCCCAAATACATATTTATTTAATGTAGCTCGCATCACATTGTTCCACATGCTTTAATTAGAACATATATGCTCATATGTACTGGTAATTAATTCATTATAACTTGTGGATTTCGAAGCTCTAATTTGCAATACAAGTGTCAGGCTCAAAAAATCAGGTCTACACGTGAAGGGGCAATTAAACTGATTTATTGCTAAAATGCCTATGAACACGAATCTTCTCAACTGATGGTCAGGACCTGCTAAGAGTTAGATAAGGGTCAACAGTATTCAAGGGGAGTTGGGTTTAGTTCTCTTGTGGCTACATAATGATTCTAGCCAGATTCTTCTTTTCACTCTGCTCCCAGGTTCTCCCATTCCATCTCATACAACATACCCTCATACAAGGTTAGCCATCTATAGTCTGCATAATCTAATTGGGCCAATGAGCTCAATCTAGGAACACAATTAATTAGGTCAAAATTAGGCTATCACTATAAATTAGGAAATATATTGTGTTGTTCAAATCTTCTAAGGACACCTTTTTATATTTGTACTGACATGGGGTAATTACCTACATTTATAATCTACTTTTAATGACTCCATAATCCCTTGTGGGGTGTATTCTGGGCAACAGAATGGAGCTGAGTGTTTACTGGCCAGATGCCCTTCCTATCACCAATGCGGAGTTACATTCAGCAAATATATTCTCATTGTGCTCCAAGGGAGAAATAGTTGCTTCTACCTAGGATCGAACTTCTGATTGTGAGGCGAGAGCTCCACCTCTAGGCCACCGCACCACTCTAATTACCTACATTTATCTGGTTCATATATTACAAAAATGAATACAATGTTTGTATAGTGGTAGGGAAGAACAAAGATGCTAGAGCTATATCATCATCATCATCATCATAATCATCATCATCATCATCATCATCATCATCATCATTTTTAGCCACTGTCTATCCACTGTAGGATAGACAATTCTCTTCCACGTATTTCTAACCAATACGGTCCTCAGTTTTCTTTTGCCAATTGGGCCCACAATACTTGCTGATGTTGTCGATCCATTTTGTTTTAGGGCTCTTTTGTGGACACCTTTTAATCAAGTGGGGTCCATTTATTGATCCATATTGTATTACAGGTAGTCCTTGACTTACAACAGTTCATTTAGTGACTGTTCAAAGTTACAACGCTGGAAAAAGGTGACTTATGACCATTTTTCACACCTACGAATGTTGCAGCATCTCCATGGTCATGGGATGCTCGGCAACTGTTCAGATTTATCACCGTGGCTATGTCCCAGGGTCATGTGATCACCTTTTTGTGACTTTTTGACAAACAAAGTCAATGGGGAAACCAGATTCACTTAACAACCATGTTACTGACATAGCAACTGCAGTGATCTATTGAACAACTGTGGCAAGAAAGTTTGTGAAATGGAGTCAAACTCACTTAACGAATGTCTTGCTTAGCCAAATAAATTTTGGGCTCAGTTGTGGTCGTAAGTCAAGGACTACCTGCATCGCCTTAAATATTGGGAAGCAGACTAACTTGATTTCTCCATAGTGGACCATTTACTTGGTCCTAGGAACAGCAATAAGAGGTAACAGGAGTCTGTCTTACTTCCTAGTTGCATGACTCCACTCTAGATTTGTTGATCAGTTTTATTATAAAGTGACGAAAGACATATTATGTAAAGAAACAGGGCAATATCCCATTTTCATCTATAGTTGGCAATCTTTTGATAATCTAGAGCCCCACAGACTCTTAATAAATATGCACATCCATTTGTTTGGGCGATATATAAAGCCTGACGGAAGCATTATTTTTCTCCTTGTTTCTACTTTTTTTTTAAAAAAACCTGCATGTTTTGTGTAGAGGCATTGCAACTGTTGAGACATTCAAATACACAACCTCTTGTACGCGTAGATGCAAATTCAGAGATACATGACATCGAGTCATTTTGAAAGGAAGGGGAAAAAATGCAAATAGAGGCTGAAATGTTTCTTGATGCTCAACAATGGAGGCATTGTTCCTGCCTGAAGGGAAGCACATGGGCAAAAGGGTCTTTCGCTTACCTCCTTGGCAATAGTGGTGATGAAAGCGGGTGGCCTGGCTGTGGCAATGAGAGAGAGAGCGTGTCGTGCAGAGCGGGCGGAATCCGCTGCTGGACTCAGAGGCAGCCCCATTTTGATGCTAATCAAAGATCAGACAAAGAAGGAAGGGTGATTGTGGGGGGGTGGGAGAGGAGGAAGAAAAGAAGCATTAGAAATATAGACTGAAAAGATTAGACACAGCTTATAATGTCAGTTCAAGGTCAACGGGAGCACTCAAACAGTTAGAATATAATGGACTCCCAACAATGAGCAGTGATTAGAAGTCAGGGTGTTCTAGCAACTAATACAAAATCAAATAATTAACCGTGAAGATTGAAAACAGTATGTGCATCTGTCCAAAGTGTTAAAAAGGCCTTGTTAACAAATTATCTAGCTGTAGTACTGAATACATATCAAGAACCAAGATCAACACAAATATATACTGCCATGCCAAAACAACAACAACAACACATTTTATATCTCAGCTAAAGTTTAAGGCGCAGTGTGTTCATAACTCTGCCGTTATTGCTGTACCAGTCAACCCATCATATTTTGGGAATAGCTGACATTGGAGCTACTGATTTCAGTCTGGTCATCCTCTTTCCAAGTACAGTTATTATTATTCTTTTTTTTTTAAAGGTACAATTCATAGCAAACGCAGTCCTTAGATCTGAAATCACACTTATGGTACATTGCTGGGACAAATATAGGACAAAATAACTTCTTTCTCACATGTCCAGTGAGTGTACTCTTACATACTAAGAAGCAGGAAATAGAAAATGTGAAAGTCTGATCAGATTCAAACACTTCAATAGTAACAGAGCAGAACTCTTATTCTACTGGCTTTGCAGATATTAGTACTGCATTTGATCCCGTGGATGTCCCAAAGGTGCTTTTTCAGGAGGCAACTGGACTTCCTTGTTTTTTTCTTTTGAAGATGTTTCGCTTCTCATCTAAGAAGCTTCTTCAGCTCTGACTGGATGATGGGGAATGGAAGTCCTGAAAATAAAGCACCTTTGGGACAACCATGATCTGGATGGCTGAGAATCTCTACAGCCTTTGACCGTGTGGATGACTTTATGTAAGTCTTTCCAAATGGGGGCATGGCCTGGGAACCAAAAGCTAGCATGGTAGGTGTAAAGAGCATTAAAAATATTATAGTTTTCCCTCCATTGTCCCAAAGGTGCTTTTTTTTCAAGAGGCAATTGGACTTTCTGGTTTTTCTTTGAAGATGTTTCACTTCTCACCCAAGAAGCTTCTTCAGCTCTGGCTGGATGGTGAGGAATGGGAATTCTCTACCATCCAGCCAAATCTGAAGAAGCTTCTTGGATGAGAAGCATAATGTCGTCAAAGAAAAACCAGAAAGTCTAGTTGCCTCTTGAAAAAGCACCTTTGGGACAATCATGACCCAGGTGACTGAGAAACTCAGTCAGACATTTTCCTTCCATTGTGATCTGAGTGTCAGGTTTCCAAGTGTCAATCCCGAAATTGACACTGAGGGTACCAGAGCGTAGGTGTAAACCCATCCTCCCAATCTCCAGTGAGTTTGCTCAAGGTACTTTTTTTCTTTTACTGTTTGATTTCCCCCCACCAAACAATAGTATGTTCCCCTTCACACAGGAGGCCTGAGAATTGATCAGCTGTGGCAGGACTCTTCAGGCAGCAGCCACAATATACACACATTGTGAGTTAGGGCCACATAAGTCTCGCTTAAAAAATGAATTTATGAAAATATTTAAAAAGGAAAATGTAGGAGATCATTGGTCTCAAGTCTCAAGTCCCTTGGTGCCCAAAAGAGATCTAAGTCCAGCCCACCTTGAATTCTCTTATCTATCACCTATTTGCTTTGACTGTTAGTAGTTCAGATTCTTGTAGAGAGCTTTAGCATACAAGAAAGCTATATTCTTTTGAAATGCCTGGACTCCTAGTTTTCTGCGCTTGACAGGAAAGACAAGTTAGAGCGAACGAGTTTTCACAAACGAGAATAATAGATAGAATCTTCTTTTTTACTTGGATATTTCAGAATTTCAGATGACCATCACTGTCTAATTAATCAGTAATACCTACAGGTAGTCCTCATTTACTGATTGTTTGTTCAGTGCCCAAAACTACTATGGCCCAAATAATCAGACTTATTGCCAGTCCTCAATGTTGCAGCTGTTGCAACATCCGTGCCATCACATAATTGTGATTCTGGCACTTGGCAACCCATGTGCGGTACATTTCCAACGATTACAGTGACCCTCTGTCACACAATCGACGTGTACAACCTTTGCAGCAGCTCCCCAAAAGCAAAATCAATGGGGAAGCTGGCAGGAAGTCGCAAGTCACAGCCATGTGACAATACCCTTAGCAACTTTGTGGTGATCTGCTTCATGACCACAGGCAGAACTGACAAACGGCCGCCACAAGAATCCGTCCATTATTCCCACTAAAACGCACGCTGTAACTTTTGTAATGTTTAAAGAGGCGTGCAATTTTTTGTTTTGTTTTTACATTTCCTTTCCGAATTTGAGTCTATGTGAATATTTTCTCATCATTCTCTTCCCCCAATAGGATGGGTCTCTGTAACGTTAGATACGGACCAATTTTGAGAGGCAGAGCAGAGATGGGTGGATGCTGGGCAGAAACACCAGAAAGAAGCAATTAATTTAAAATGCAATCTCCTTAATGTACCTTTCTCGAGTTTTATGACTTTCAGAGCTAAAAAACAAAACAAAAAAAGGAATGTTTTCTTTTCCTTTCCTCCTCCCTCTTCCTGATGGGAAGGCATAGATTTTTCTGAAAGCAACAGGCTCCTTATTAATTCATTAATGACACTCTCTAGTGTTAGTATGTGGCCAGAGATTAGTCCCCTCCTGTAGCTGAGCCAGCTGGTCTATCAGAGCAAGAACTGCGCATGAAGGAGCAGGCACACTGCCCCGAGACCAAGGGCCAAATTAAAAGCAGATGCAAAGCTAATATGAACAAGGGAGTGTTGAGTTGGTCCCTACAGTCGGATTTTTATTAAGAGGGTGTTTTTTTTTAAAAAAACAAATTCCTCTCATAGTCAATACAAAGAGCTCCTTCCACACATGCAAGATAGCTGTTATTCAGGGAACCTGCTGATGGTAAAAGTAATAAATGTCACTGTAGCTTGTATGTATGGATTTGGGCAAGGATCATGGGGACAATAGTGGAACATCTGTTGCGCAGAGAGAGAACTTGGTTCTGTGTCAAAGGGATCAGAGAGCAGCTGAGCAAAGCCTCCTCTGTGGAAGGAAAGAAAAAGAAAAAAAAAAGAAAAACCAGAAGAGTTGGAAGAGGATTGTGGGCTAGAGGTGCAAATAAATTGACCTGGATAGGACAGTTTTCTTATATCCATCGGGTGTTTATTTATTCGTTTATTTATGTATATCCCGTCATTTATTATTTTTGGGGAAATAATTCAAAACACACACGATACAAGCATGCAGAGAATGGTTTCTGAAATTCTGTTTTTCCAAACTCTTTACCAGTCACAGCCATATGAGATGCATGTACTCTCTTCTATAATAAAGCGATACCTCATATTTGTGTGTGTGTGGGTGTATTTCTATATATTTAGGCAAGAATATGCACTGGGGAGCATGAATGAAGCCTGACATGATTAGAAGGGGAAAAAGCTAAGAAGTCAACAGAACTGTGAACCATCACCCAACTGGGATATACTGAGGGAGATTTTCTACAATTTTTTCCCCTGCTGGCCTCGGATGAATCTGGCCCCTTGCTCTTTCTTTCATTAGCTTTTCCCACCATGACAAATTTTATCCATTCTGTTCAGTTTCTGGATAGGATTAGTGAACCTGTGAAACAAGCAACAGAAGTACTGCAAGCGTATGAGTCACCAGAGGTACCAGGTTGCTTACCACTACTTTAAAATATTGTCAATCTCTCAAAATCAAAGGAGGGAGGGAGGAAGGAGGCAGGCAGGATGGAGATAGGGTATATGGGAGGAAGGAAGGATGGAGGGAGGGAGGAGGAAGGAAAGAAGGAAGGAGAGAGAATGCAGGAAGGGTGTGTGGAAGGAAGGAAGGAAGGAAGGAAGGAAGGAAGGAAGGAAGG